TCTTTTCTTCCTATGTTGAGAATTCTGGTTACTATGGCAACAAATAGGCTTAAATTATGGCAAATTTTACACATAAACTGGATCCAATGATAAAGCAAAAAGTACTGGAAATATTTTTATGAAACTTGACATAATTATGGGTAGATGGCAGTCTTGAGATTATGCACGATTATGGTTAAGGTCGTTGACTTCAAACCACTTGCCCCTCACCGCTGTGGTTTCAAATCCCGACAGGGACTTTGGATTCTTTCATGTGAGGAAGCTATCCAGCTAGCTTACGGAACGTCTGTGGTTCTACTCAGGTGCCCGTTCGTGCCTGAAATAATGCACGGAAGGGCACCTGAGGTCTTCCTCCACCAGTAAAGCTGGAATGTCGCGATATGACCTATACTGTGTCGATGTGACGTAAAACCCAAAACAAAAAAAACAAAAAAATGCACGTCTTTTTCTTTTCTTCCTATGTTGAGAATTCTGGTTGCAGATAGACTGAAAATATGGCAAATTTTACACATAAACTGAATCCAGTGATAACTCAAAAAGTACTTGAAATATTTTTATGAAACTTGACATATGGGTAGATAGCAGTCTTGAGATTATGCATGTCTTATCTGTTCTTCCTATTTTGAAAAAATATCAGTTGCCTTTGCAACAAATAGGCTTAAAACATGGCAAATATAACAATATTTGCGATTAGTCAAAAAGAGCTGAAATTTTTTATGAAATTGCATCTTTCATTCAAGAGTTATTCTCCTCTTTAAGAATTTTGCTTTTAAAATGTTATATTTTGGTAACAGGGGTGTTTCAAATATTAACTTTAGAGTGTCCTTCAGTCCGTCTGTCTGTCTGTTCATAAAAACTGTTTCCTGTGATCACTTTTAAAGAACTTTTCCAACAAGTTTACTTAAAATAGAGAAAATTGAAACATTAGTGAATGGCCAATGGCCCTTCAGAATGTTGATGGGGTTCTAACCGGTAGGGGACTTATGGATTGCTTGCAATACTATGATAATTGCTTGTTTCACTAGACACTATGTAGAAATTTTGTGAACGGAACTCCTCTTAAACCGGATGGCAGATTTTGCTTAAACTTACAGGGATGAACAACCTTAATGTGTAGATGGTAGTAAAGGAAGGAATTTTTGCTGCGACCAAATTTAACAGAATTATGGCCCTTTGTTGATTTTTTCACTATATACCATTTAGAAATTTTGTGAACGCAACTCCTCTTAAACCGGATGGCAGATTTTGCTTAAACTTTCAGGGATGAACAACCTTAATGTGTAGATGGTAGTAAAGGAAGGAATTTTTGCTTTGACTAAATTTAACAGAATAATGGCCTTTTGTTGATTTTTTCACTATATACCATATAGAAATTTTGTGAACGCAACTCCTCTTAAACCGGATGGTAGATTTTGCTTAAACTTCCAGGGATGAACAACCTTAATGTGTAAATGGTAGTAAAGGAAGGAATTTTTGCTGCGACCAAATTTAACAGAATTATGGCCCTTTGTTGAATTTTTCACTATATACCATATATATGTTGTCAGTGGGGGCATCCGTGTCCTTTGGACACAGTTCTAGTTGACTAAAAGTTACTCGCAAAATTTTCTAAGTTTTTTTACACTAATTTGCCACCCAGAAAATAGTAAGAGTTTCACTTTTCCACTAAAAGCCACTCATTTTCCACCTTCAAAATAAACTAAGTTTCATTTTCCACCAATTTCCACCCTTTTTCCACCATGACAAAAGTCTATGTTCAAGTTTCCACTCAATTACCACCTAAATGCCACCAAAGGATAGTGGCATTTGGTGGTAAATTTGCCACTACAGTGGAAAAAGAGTGCAATTTTGTCATTTTCCAGTTAATGCCACCTTTTTAGCTCACCTGTCCCAAAGTGACAGGGTAAGCTTTTGTGATCGCTTTTCGTCCGGCGCCCGTCCGGCGTCCGTCCGTCGTACATCCGTAAACTTTTACTTTAAATGACATCATCCAAACTTCACAGGAATGTTCCTTTGGTGGTCACCTTTAAAAATTGTTCAAAGAATTTAATTCCATGCAGAACTCTGGTTGCCATGGCAACCGAAAGAAAAAACTTTAAATATCTTCTTTTAAAAAACCATAAGAGCTAAAGCTTAGATATTTGGCATGAAACACCTTCTAGTGAGTGTCTACCAAGTTTGTTCAAATAAAGCCCTGGGGTCAAAATTGGCCCCGCCCCGGGGGGTCATTGATTTTCCCTATATGCATATAGTAAAAACTTAAAAAATCTTCTTCTAAAGAACCCAAAAAGCTAGAGCTAAGATATTTAGCATGAAATATGTTCTAATGCGTGTCTACCAAGTTTGTTCAACTAGAAGCCCTGGGGTCAAAATTGGCCCCGCCCCGGCGGGTCATTGATTTTCCCTATATGCATATAGTAAAAACTTAAAAAATCTTCTTTTAAAGAACTCAAAGAGCTATGGCTAAGATATTGAGCATCAAACATGTTCTAATAGGTGTCTACCAAGTTTGTTCAAATAAAAGCCCTGGGGTCAAAATTGGCCCCGCCCCAGGGGGTCATTGATTTTCCCTATATGCATATAGTAAAAACTTAAAAAATCTTCTTTTAAAGAAATCAAAGAGCTATGGCTAAGATATTTAGCATCAAACATGTTCTAATAGGTGTCTACAAAGTTTGTTCAAATAAAAGACCTGGGGTCAAAATTGGCACCGCCCCGGGGGGGTCATTGATTTTCCCTATATGCATATAGTAAAAACTTAAAAAATCTTCTTTTAAAGAAATCAAAGAGCTATGGCTAAGATATTTAGCATCAAACATGTTCTAATAGGTGTCTACAAAGTTTGTTCAAATAAAAGACCTGGGGTCAAAATTGGCCCCGCCCCGGGGGTCATTGATTTTCTTTATATGTGTATAGCAAAAACTTAAAAAATCTTCTTTGAAAAAACCCAAATAGCTAGAGTTTAGATATTAAGCATGAAACATCTTCTAGTAAGTGTCTACAAAGTTTGTTCAAATAAAAGCCCTGGCCCGGCCCCAGGGGTGTCATTGTTTTTAACTATATGTGTATAGTAAAAACTTTAAAAAAATCTTCTTTTAAAAAGCCCAATGAGCTAGAGCTTAGATGTTTAGCATGAAACATCTTCTTATGGGTGTCTACCAAGTTTGTGCAAATAAAAGCCCTTGGGTTAAATTGGCCCTGCAACGTTGGGGAGGGGGGTTGGGGGGCCTATATACAGGTGAGCGACCTCAGGGCCATCATGGCCCTCTTTTTAGTCCCCTACCGGTTTACCGGAGGGGACTTTAGGTTTACCCTTCGTCCGTCCGTCCGTCTGTCCATCTGTCCATCCGTCTGTCTGTCAGTCCGTCAGTCTGTCCGTCCACAAAACTGGATCCCGGGATAACTTGAAAAGTACTGAAAATATTTTTATGAAACTTGGTATATGGATAGATGGCAGTATGGAGATTATGCCCGTCTTTTTATTTTCTTCCTATGTTGAAAATTCTGGTTGCTATGGCAACAAATAGGCTGAAAATGTGGCAAATTTTACACATAAACTGGATCCAGTGATAACGCAAAAAGTACTGGAAATATTTTTATGAAACTTGACATATGGGTAGATGACAGTCTTGAGATTATGCACGTCTTTTTCTTTTCTTCCTATGTTGAAAATTCTGGTTGCTATGGCAACAAATAGGCTGAAAATATGGCAAATTTTACACATAAACTGGATCCAGTGATAACGCAAAAAGTACTGGAAATATTTTTATGAAACTTGACATATGGGTAGATAGCAGTCTTGAGATTATGCATGTCTTATCTGTTCTTCCTATTTTGAAAAAATATCTGTTGCCTTGGCAACAAATAGGCTTAAAACATGGCAAATATAACAATCTTTAGTCAAGATTAGTCAAAAAGACCTGAAAATTTTTATAAAATTGCATCTTTAATTCAAGAGTTATCTCCTCTTTAAGAATTTTGCTTTTAAAATGTTATATTTTGGTAACAGGGATGTTTCAAATATTAACTTTAGAGTGTCCTTCAGTCCGTCTGTCTGTCTGTTCATAAAAACTGTTTCCTGTGATCACTTTTAAAGAACTTTTCCAACAAATTTACTTAAAATAGAGAAAAATTGAAACATTAGTGAATGGCCAATGGCCTTTCAGAATGTTGATGGGTTTCTAACCGGTAGGGGACTTATGGATTGCTTGCAATACTATGATAATTGCTTGTTTACACTAATTGCCATCCTTTTCAGTGGAAATAGCTGGCAAGTAGTGGCAAATCTAGAGACGGGTATGCAGCTCCATTGTACACACTGCCCCTGTGATTGGCCAATATAAATTTGCATAATTTATACTACCCCTGACATGTTTTAACCAGCGAGTTTAAAAAGTTTACACCCTGAATAGGTCTTACTATATTTGACAGTAACTACACGCAACATCACATTGGCTGTGTAAATTTACATGCATATATAAATAATATGAGTAAATAATACGAGATTGTGCAGACATATTAAGAAGTCAGCAGCGTCTTTGATGTTTACAGAGTAGCAGTCGCACAAATACAGATTAAAATTCATTTAAACTGGATCATTTTAAGACGACAAAAGGATGTACAATTCATCCGTTTTAGTGATTGTTTATTATTTTTTTGTGTACTTAACTTACGACATTAATATCAAAGATATTTTTAATTCTATTAACAATTAATAAGAGCAAACTGACAATTTATATTAGCGCTTATAAATTATAACTTGATTATGTAAAGTATTCTGGATAACAGAATAAAGTAGCCTACAACAATTAAGCAGTCTCAGGGATGTGTATATACGACCGAAATTCAGGACATATAATCGACTTTGCTTTCAAGTTTCTTAAATATTGCAAACCTTAACTATTTATAGATTTAATCTGTCCCTATAACCTGATAATCTTTATACCATCATAACAAAATAATTGACAGAAAAAGCTGCGACGCATGTATAAAATAGCGACATGGTTAGAAGTAATTGTTTGGATAAAATTTTGTCAGATCTTAAATACGTGGATTGATCTACCCACGAAAACCTCGTGACCCACGAATAATAATGATTTTACAGTAGCCTTCTGGACAAAGTTTCCCATCCCTCAGGGGGAACATAGATTGTCCTTAATCAGTATTATATGGTAAAAACTTTGAAAAATCTTCTCTAAATTTAAAAGAACTAAAGCTTAAGTTTCCATAGAAACTAGTGACTTCATGACAACAACTGACTTTTGATAATAAAAAAACTGTAAATTTTCATAGCAACCAGCAAATATTAAATTTCCATAGCAATGAGTGAATTTACAATAGAATTTCATTGGCCATGACTTCTAAGGCCATAATTTTGGGTAGCAAACAGTGACATCTCATTAAAACTATTGTTTTCCATTTAGCGATAGCAACCAGTAAAATTTCTACATGTACACTATTTCAGATACAAATATAAACTTTTTGATATCGATATAAGATTTATATTTTATATCTACTCTTGTTTGATATTACAATATTACTTCTTCCTTGTCATGGAGAATATAATTATTCAGGTGAGCAATATAAATGCTATGGGGCCCTCTTGTTTATGGATTTGATTCCATATTGAACAAAAAAAACTGACAAGAAGATTTATTCAAATGTGACCTTGATCCAATGTCAAGGTCACAGCAAGGGATTGGGTATTTTGTTATACAGTTCTTTAGTGCACCTGCCCTAACTTCTACATGCATGATGGAATTTTTAAAAAAGATTTGTACTTATGATCAAGATAAGTGGGCAATTTGTAAGGTTTGAATGTGATATGTTTATCAGAATTTGATTTATCATTATTCTGCTATACAGGCATTTGGAGAGCATGCTTTTGACCTTATTGAAAATGCATGTAAGACTGCATTGTTTGCTTATATTCAAGCTGTTAAAATTTATCACAATTTTCAGATTCAAAGCAGCCATGTGCCCCCAGTTGTCATACTTATGGAAACATAACATTTAAAGCTGCAAATGGCACAATCAGGGATATTAAACAAGACTGTATTTTATATCTCTGGGAAAGCACAGCATTTCGTAATGGTATGTAGTATATACAGCCTTAACTCATATTAGTTTGAACATTTCTTAAACTTATAGTTATTTTACATATGGAATGATGTAACTATACATATATTTATAAGTATATCAGAAACTTTTACCAACCCATTGTTTTGATAGTTCTCTAGAGCCATAGTCGAGAGATAGTTTGTTACCAATATGGCATCAAATTTAAGTTGTTGTATAAGGAAAACTACTTACATGCCTTGCAAAAGTCTGTACTTTATTTGTATGAATAGCAAAATTATAATGTCCTTCTTGTAATGAAAAATCAAAGAATAGGACTGTAAAACTGCATGCTTTAAACATACATGTATAATAAATACTCATAGGGTTTGGCTTCATTGATATCTTAGAAAAAAAACTAAACAGAAAGTTTTTAGGAGCAAACATTATATCTTTACTTCGTAAAATCAGATAAGGATATTAATTTTTGGAAATAAAACTCATATTTATTAGAAAATATGGAGAATTTACTGCTTTGGCATTGTAATAATTATGCTGTATTTATTTCATTTTGTTAACTGCTTTTCTTTGACAGCCAAAGGAAGGCCAGATGAGCATGTTCTTTTGAAAGAAATTGATGAGTCCGATAGATTTAAATTGTTTAAAGAAAGTGAGTTATTTGTATTTATTTTCACCTTATATATTGTGAAGTTATTGTATTGTAAATGAATTCTACAACATTAAAGAATTATATTGGATTTAGCTTATAATAAATTGATCATTGATCAAGTTAATTTCATTTTTTACTTTTCTGTATAATATATAACATGTTACATATGTTATGTTATCACATACTCTTGTTTCAAGAAAAACAGTTAAGCTTGCTCATGTCCTTCATGTCCTTCAGTCTGTCTGAAATCTGCATAATTTGATTATTTTAAAGCCACAATCCAATATATATGCAGTCTAATTTGCTTATGTAACCACATGTATTAAGCAACATTTGTCTTGAAGGACCACTATGAATATTCCCTGATCACTTTCCCATTTCTAATTTGTTACAAAGAGAAGGAAGTTTGCTCAATACAATTGCTAATTAGTCTGCTTGTTTTTTATCATTACATCCAGGATTTAATGTATAAACAGTTAGCAAAATATTTTACCAAGTGTTTACAAGTTGTAATGTTGTCTTACTTTCAGTGTTCCCTCAAGGAAGATTTACCAATGAAACAGTCCGTACTTTTGAATGCAGAAAGCTTGATTACAAAGATGTGATACATGCTCCTTACGAAGACAACCCAAGTGGAAAACAGAAGGCGGTGGCTAATTTGCTCAAGTTTGCTATTACATTGAAGAAAAAATCTGTTGGTCTCTATTTTGATGATGCCAGTAAGACCCCTTTTCATCATATTGTAATTAATTATGCTGAAAGTAAATTGTTTAGCAAAAGCTCATCTGTTAGTCTGTAGACCACTTTTTCTTAAAGAAAGAGAGAAAAAAACCTTTTTTAAAGTTTGCCTGCCTATGTTTGTATCTAAAAATTAGCTTGTTTACAAAATAAAATACGTAATTGTTAACAACATATGAGTATTGTCACTATTATGATACCCCCAAAAACATAGTTGGGGGGGGGGGGGGTATATAGGAGTCACCCGGTGGTTGGTGGGTCCAGACGTCTGTTGCATTTTCCTTGTCCGGAGCATAACTTGAAGACAAATGGTTGGAATTCAATATAACTACATACAATGGTCAAGCACATTGAAGGGAAGTGCAGTGCACAAGAACCATAACTCTATCTTGACTAATTACAGAGTTATTGCCCTTTGTTACTTTTCCTTGTCCAAGGCATACCTTGAAAACTACTGGTTGGAATTCAAAACAACTTCATACAATTGTCAAATACAATAAAGTGAAGTGCAGGGCTCAAAAACCATAACTCTATCTAAAGTAATTACAGAGTCATTGCCCTTTGTTACTTTCCATTGTTTTCTTTTGTCCGGACCATAACTTGAAGACTAATTGTTGGAATTCATAATAACTTCATACAATGGTCAAGCACATTGAGAGGAAGTGCAGTGCACAAGAACCATAACTCCATCTTGACTAATTACAGAGTTACTGACCTTTGTTACTTTTCCTTGTCCAGACTACTGGTTGGAATTAAAAACAACTTCATACAATGGTCAAGCATAATAAGGGGAAGTGCAATGCACAAGAACCATTACTCCATCTTGACTAATGACAGAGTTATTGCCCTTTGTTACTTTTCCTTGTCCAGAGCATAACTTGAAAACTACTGTGTGGAATTCAATACAACTTCATACGTTGTCAAGTACATTAAAAGGAAGTGCAGTGCACAAGAGCCATAACTCCATTTTGACAAAATACAGAGTTTTTGCCCTTTGTAACTTTTCCATTGCTTTTTTTGTCTGGAGCGTAACTTGAAGACTAATGGTTGGAATTTAATATAACTTCATACAATGGTCAAGCACATTAAGAGGAAGTGCAGTGCACAAAAACCATAACTCCATCTTGACTAATTACAGAGTTATTGCCCTTTGTTACTTTTCATTGCCCAGAGCATAACTTGAAAACTACTGTGTGGAATTCAATACAACTTCATACATTGTCAAGTACATTAAAAGGAAGTGCAGTGCACAAGAGCCATAACTCCATTTTGACAAAATACAGAGTTACTGCCCTTTGATACTTTTACTCCATTTTCAGTATTTATAGAGTTATTGCCCTTTGTTCCTTTTATTTGTCTTTCTGGACTTATTAAAGAGTAATTCCATAAAACTTCATCAATTGCCAACCACAGTGAAAGGAAATGCAACATACAAGAACCACAACTATCTTTAATTGCCCACAACCATAACTCTATATTTCAATTGTTTTACAAGGTATTCTGTTACTAGTAACATCTCATTTCCGAAGCAGTCTTGTGGGGGTATAAATCACATTTAGTGATAGTTCTAGTTTTTATATGCAGCAAAATTGCCTGAAATTTCCCCTACAAGGGAAACAATATAAAATACCCTCACCTACAGGTACAGGTCCCCCAAAACAGAGAAAGAGAGCCGTGATAACACAATTGCATTAATTGATTATAAGACCTTTTTGAGTGGTGTAATTATACCACCACAAAAAGTTAAGTGGGGGGTATATAGAATCAGCTTGTTAGTCGGTTCTTCTGTCATGATTTCTGGGTAAGAATGAATTATTGTAAACAAAGTTTGTATATAGCAACCGTACGTAAAAATACTGGATGGTTTGTTGTTTAGGTCAAGGTCACTGTAACTTACATTAAAAAAGTGGTTGTCAGGTAATAACAAGAGTTAGAAATGAGATATTGTAATCAGACTTGGTATATAGCAAGCTTATCTGAAGATCTAAATTTGGAATGCTTTTGAATCCCCTCAGGTTAAGTTCAAGCTCACTGTTACTAAAAACAGAAAAATGGTTTCCAGACAAAAACTAGAGTTAGGAATGAGAACAGGTACTGTAATCAAACTTGATTTATTGTCTTAATAAGCTATGTTTGTTTAATAAAAATTTTGTTTTTATTATTATTATTTTAGCTAACCTATCACAAAATGACTTGATGAGTTTTTTTGTTCGCAATTGTCTGGTAGCGTTTACTTTAAACAACATCTCGTAAATCCCAAAACACATTTTATCCAAACTTTACAAGAACATTCCTTGGATGGTCACCTTTAAATATAATTCAAAGAATTGAATTCCTTAATTAAAAAAAAAATCTTCCTTTGAAAATCCTAAAGAGCTTGAACTTGAAAATTTAGAATGAAACATCTTCTATTGGGTGTTTTCTAATTTTGTTTTTTTAAAAGAAGCCCTGATGTCAAAATTGGCCCTGCTCCAGGGAGGCATTGATGTTCCTTATATATTCAAATCCAAAAAGAAAGCCATAATAGAAGAAAATCTCTATAGGCTTTAGCTTAGATATTTGGTATGAAACATTTTCTGGTGGACCTATACAAGTACCGTCTTGGGAAATCATACATTTTCCTTATACATGTATGTATGTATATAGTTAAAACTTTTAAAGAATTATTTTCAAAATCTACAAGACCATAAGCTTAGTTTCCATAGCAACAAGTGAATCTACATGTACCATTGAATTTCAATAGCAGGCACTGACTTTCAAGGAAACCATTTATTTTGTATAGCAAACAGTGACATCGTTTATAACTGTTGTTTTTCCTAAGCATAGCAACCAGCAAAGATTTTACACATGCACTATTCCAGATTTTCCACAAAAATGAACTTTGTGTTACCAGTTTGAAATTTAGATTTTATATCTGCTTTATAGTTTACAATATAACTTGTCCCTTGTCATGAAGAATATTTAATTTCAGGTGAATACATGTCTATAGTAATATCTTAATAAAATCGCCTTTAAAAAAAAAATATAGCCCCACCCCAGAGGGTCATTGGTTTTCCTTATATATACATGTATATAGCTAAAACTTAAAAACTCTCCTTGTGAAAATCCAAAAGAGCTAGAGATTAGATATTTTGCATAAAACATCTTCTAGTGGCTGTCTACCAGGCCCCAGGGGTCATTAATTTTCCTAATATGTATTGTGAATCCTGTATTTTTTGCTATGTTTTAATTTTCGCTATTTATTCTGGGGTGAAAGGGGCTCCACTTCAACCTTTTGACCTTTTTCTCAGGTGAGTGATCCAGGGCCCTCTTGTTTGTGTAAATACTAGCACATTTTACTTAAGTACATAGTCTTACTTTTTCAGATCCATTTTTGAAAGGTGGGGACTTCATGACACATGTAGCTACAGCTTTATTAGATATTTCTTCCTTTGCCAGATATCCCATTGAAGTTGTAGTTTTTGTTGGAAAAAATTTCTTCAATAGAGCTATTTCATTCTTCAAGGAAAACATCCAAATTGATTCAGGAGGTATAGTCTATTCATTTGTTAACCAGGTTTTCCGAAGGGAAAAACTGGTTATTAGATTGAGGTATGTCGGCGGGCGGGCGGGCGGGCGGGCGGATGGGCGGACGGGCGGGCGTAAACAATTTCTTCTGTGCGCAACTCCTCCTACATTTCTCAACGGATTTTGACCAAACTTTCACAGAAGCTTTGTCATCAAGTGCCCTGGCGCATATTGTCGGGGTTTTGCGATTAGATAATATTTGACCTAATTATGGCCCTTTGTTTTTTTTCCTTATATAAAATATATAGTGAACAATTTCTTCTGTGCGCAACTCCTCCTACATTTCTCAACGGATTTTGACCAAACTTCCTTAGAAGCTTTGTCATCAAGTGCCATGACACATATTGCCAGGGTTTTGCAATTGGTATATATTTGACCTAATTATGGCCTCTTGTTTTTTTTCCTTATATAAAATATATAGTGAACAATTTCTTCTGTGCGCAACTCCTCCTACATTTCTCAACGGATTTTGACCAAACTTTCACAGAAGCTTTGTCATCAAGTGCCCTGGCGCATATTGTCGGGGTTTTGTGATTAGATAATATTTGACCTAATTATGGCCCTTTGTTTTTTTTCCTTATATAAAATATATAGTGAACAATTTCTTCTGTGCGCAACTTCTCCTACTTTTCTCAACGGATTTTGACCAAACTTTCTCAGAAGCTTTGTCATCAAGTGCCCTGACACATATTGCCAGGGTTTTGCAATTGGTTTTTTTTTACCTAATTATGGCCCTTTGTTTTTTTTCCTTATATAGAATATATAGTGAACAATTTCTTCTGTGCGCAACTCCTCCTACATTTCTCAACGGATTTTGACCAAACTTTCTTAGAAGCTTTGTTATCAAGTGCCTGGCACATATTGTCGGGGTTTTGTGATTGGATAATATTTGACCGAATAATGGCCCTTTGTATATTTTTTCCTTATACAGAATATATAGAGAACAATTTCTTCTGTGCTCAACTCCTCCTACATTTCTCAACGGATTTTGACCAAACTTCCTTAGAAGCTTTGTTATCAAGTGCCTGGCACATATTGTCGGGGTTTTTTGATTGGATAATATTTGACCGAATTATGGCCCTTAGTATATTTTTTCCTTATACAGAATATATAGTGAACAATTCTACAGTGCGCAACTTCTCCTACATTTCTCAATGGATTTTGACCAAACTTTCACAGAAGCTTTGTCATCAAGTGCCCTGGCGCTCACTAAATTCCCATGTTTCTTCCAAGACATCATTCAAGTATTTTTTTAAAATTGTGTACATACTTTTCTTGATATCGAACAAAACACCACACACCAATATTGTTGACAAAAGAAAATGACAAGAGATGCAAAAATGCAAAAATTAAGCAAAAATAAAGTACTGTTTACCTTTCTAAAACATTTGGGAAAAAAAGGCGAATAGACAACATAAAATTTCTCAATCATTTTTGTTTGAGGAATATTAAAAAAGCCATAATTCCTCCTAAAAGTTCAATTAAAAACAAATGCCCCTTCATGACAAAGCTTCTGTGAAATATTTTGCTGAAAACCTGGTTGCATCGCATTGCGATGTTCCTTGTTTTTATATTATCTCTATATCATATTGTCATGACGTCAAGTTATACTTGTATGGACAGGTTGAATGATCTGCAATCTTATGACAACATTCATTAAAACCTTTAAAAAAAAAACACATTGAAACCTTCTTTTCAGGATTGAATAGCAAGGATAAGGCCTTTACTCATACATTTTTGGAAGGAGACTATTTACAGTGTTGGACCACCACATTAGATGCCTATTCCTGTCTATTTCAGATGGAATGATTAATTGTTAGAATCTCGCATTTTAGCCCACTGAAATGTACTTTTAGAATACTAATCCATCTCATCACACCGATTTAAATACAATCATTAATGAAAAATTGTAAGAATCGCAAAAAAAAGAAAAAAAACCTTTGAAACATTGAAAAAGATTTCATTGGCTGTAATAGGAATCATTCTTAAGTGATACTGACCAGAGTAAGCCAAAAAATGTTTGGCATTTGAACATCTAAAACACCAAACAAGCTATAAAGGACATTTAGTTTTGAATTATTTGGCATATGAACTCAGTATGAGTGATTTGTTTGTGGTTCTCTAAAATCATACTAGTAACTAAACATGAGTCAGTCAGTTAACCCTTTCCCTCATGAGCATACTGGTTTGGGAGATAAATTGGCGGAAAATTGGTGTTTTTGGAGCATATTTCATTTATTTGTTTATGTATTCTGATGAATCTTGCACCATAATAAACTTCAGCTCTTTGATATTCCGGTATCACCATAAAAGATATATTTAGAAACAAAACAGGTAATTTTGAGAGGCCCTGGAAGAGGTACATAAAAAGGACATTTTTAACACGTGCGAGTAGATAATTCCGGCTCTTTGTTTTTCTCCTTAAATCATTTTTAATGAGTAAATTAAAACGTAGAATTCCATGTTTAGACATTTTATTATTCCTTTGCTAGTCATATTATGTCAAATAAAAAATAATTTGTATCAGAATTTTTGAGAATGACGTTGGTATAATGAATACATGTATCTATGATAACATGATATTAAATATGCAATGTACTATGTAACATAATTATAATTCATTTTAACGTAAATACATTTCTTGTGTTTTTGGTTTGTTCTTTTTAAGTATGTCATAGAGTGAAAAAAATGTGCAGCCTGACCGGGACTCATAAAAAGTAACCCTGTACTGGCCTCAAAATGAGCATCTACTGCGCATGCGTTCAGCAATCGGATTTCCTCTACTATTTATAGTCATGTTTTGTAAACTTTTGTAAAGTCTGTGCTATTTTTAGCTCACCTGTCACAAAGTGACAGAGTCAGCTTTTGTGATCGCTTTTCGTCCGGCGTCCGGCCGTCCGTCGTCCGTAAACTTTTACTTTAAACGACATCTCCTCATAAACCGTTGAGCCAATTTCATCCAAACTTCAAATAAATGTTCCTTTGGTGGTCACCTTTAAAAATTGTTCAAAGAATTTAATTCCATGCAGAACTCTGGTTGCCATGGCAACTGATAGAAAAAACTTAAAATATCTTCTTTTAAAGAACCCAAAGAGGTAGAGCTTAGATATTTGGCATGAAACATCTTCTAGTGAGTGTCTATCAAGTTTGTTCAAATAAAAGCCCTGGGCTCAAAATTGGCCCCGCCCCAGGGGGTCATTGATTTTCCCTATATGCATATAGTAAAAACTTAAAAAATCTTCTTTTAAAGAACTCAAAGAGCTAGAGCTAAGATATTTAGCAGGAAACATCTTCTAATGAGTGTCTATCAAGTTTGTTCAAATAAAAGCTCTGGGGTCAACATTGGCCCCGTCCCAGGGGGTCATTGATTTTCCCTATATGCATATAGTAAAAACTTAAAAAATCTTCTTTTAAAGAACCCAAAGAGCTAGAAAGCTAAGATATTAAGCATGAAACATCTTCTAATTGGTGTCTACCAAGTTTGTTCAAATAAAAGCCCTGGGGTCAAAATTGGCCCCATCCCAGGGGGTCATTGATTTTCCCTATATGCGTATAGTAAAAACTTAAAAAATCTTCTTTTAAGGAACCCAAAGAGCTAGAGCTAAGATATTTAGCATGAAACATCTTCTAATGAGTGTCTATCAAGTTTGTTCAAATAAAAGCCCTGGGGTCAAAATTGGCCCCACCCCAGGGGGTCATTGATTTTTCCTATATGCATATAGTAAAAACTTACAAAATCTTCTTTTAAAGAACCCAAAGAGCTAGAGAGCTAAGATATTTAGCATGAAACATCTTCTAATGGGTGTCTACCAAACTTGTTCAAATAAGAGCCCTGGGGTCAAAATTGGCCCTGCCCCGGGGGTCATTGATTTTCCTTATATGTGTAAATTAGCAAAAACTTTAAAAAAAAATCTTCTTTGAAAAACCCAAATAGCTAGAGTTTACATACTAAGCATGAAACATCTTCTAGTGAGTGTCTACAAAGTTTGTTCAAATAAAAGCCCTTAGGTCAAAATTGGCCCTGCCCTGGGAGTCATTGATTTTATTTATGTGTATAGCAAAAACTTAGAAAAATCTTCATTGAAAAAAAACCCAAATAGCTAGAGTTTAGATATTAAGCAAGAAACATCTTCTAGTGAGTGTCTTCAAAGTTGTTCAAATAAAAGACCTTGGGTCAAAACTGGCCCCGCCCCGGGGGTGTAATTGCTTTTAACTGTGTGTATAGTTTAAACTTAAAAAATCTTTTTTTTTAAAAACTCAGCGAGCTAGACCTTAGATGTTTAGCATGAAACATCTTCTAATCGGTGTCTACCAAGTTTGTTCAAATAAAAGCCCTGGGGTTTAAACTGGCCCCGCTCTGGGGGCCTTTATACAGGTGAGCGACTTCAGGGCCATCATGGCCCTCTTGTTTTTTAAATATCTTACCAAACTTCCAGCGTTCGTACGAGATGGTGAGCTTGATTACATTAAAAAAGTCGATAACTCAATATATTCTAAAAAGCCGAGTTTATCAACCAGCCGAAGTTATCTCCCCAACCAGTATTGTGAAATTTGGCTGTTTTCATTGAAAAGCCTCCTGTTACAAGTTCAAACTGCTATAAAACTATGAAAAATGCTTCAATACTAATCAAACTTGGCACAAATGTTGACAGGACCATTGCCTTTATAACAACATGCTCAATCTGGAATTTCCTGTTACCATGGCAAGGAGGGGACGTCTAAAAATTGCCAAAAATCAATATTTTGCCTCGATTTTTTCCATGAAAATTTATTTCAGTGCTGCAACTTCTCAAAGGATTAATTTAGAGACAAAGGCTTTTCAGACTACGGCCCCCCTTCAAACCCCCTGATGGATCTTTTGGATGAGGCGCGGCGCTGAAAAAGTGCTCACTATTTTTAGCAACATTTCTTAAGCGAAAACATGTGTTTGGGGCCCAAATAGGACATTTTTTCACTATTTGAGGCCTATTGAAATTATTTTTAAGTAATATCTCTTTAACCACTTTAATTTATTCGTAGATAGCACAGTATTCATTTTATCGTAACAAAATTTGATAATCATGCCTAAATAATCTAAAAATAGAAATATGGGTAAACATATGACGCCAGATGACATTATAACCATGACATTAGCTGTGTTGCTCATCATCTAAGTCAGGGCACTCATCAATTTTAAAATGCCACCGAAGTCATCTTGTTTTATTTTCTATCAATGTAAATTAACGAGCAGAAATATTTACATTACAGCACAGACTGTTGTAATGACTCTTGCTGGTACCAAAAGCAACCTGACTGCAGCAGTTGATTATTTAAGAAAGGAAAAGGAAGTTATATTAATAAAGGTTAGAATTATATTGTGTTCAAAATTCTCTAAAAATGTAGAAATTAGTGACTTAAAGATGACCTAACACATCAGAATGAGGTTTTAAGTTTGATTCAACATGTTCATGGATGATATTGGTAAATGCAAGCTTAAGTTCAAGCTTCATTACACTGGCTGAAAAAAATTCAATAAAAGTTTGAAAAATGGTGTTTTCTCAACTTTAATTGCAGTTGAGTTCTTTCAATTATTATCCTTGATCCTTAGCTGTGTGTCTTTTTTGGCACATTAAATATAAATCATGGCAAAATTATGCCAAGTTGAAGAATGTGTGCCCTTAAAATGAGAAAAGAACTAAATAAACTGGAATTTGAAGAGCTAAACAGAAGCCATGCAGTCACGGACACCTAAGAAAAAATTAATTCGAAATGTTGGCTGTCCTATTGGAGATTCCATGGGAATTTAAGAACCCATTTCTTGGAGAAAAGATAAGACTCAAAGAATTTAAAGCACCACAAACACAACAGAAATGTTTGGCAGAAACAATGCTGATGTGATAATAAAGTTTCAAATTGTTGAAATCAGATTTAGGCTTCATCTTAACTAGCAATGAACAGAAATATGCACTAACGATTAGTTATGAAAAATTGTAGCAAAATTCTATTTTGTATAGTTATGAAAAATTGTAGCAAAATTCTATTTTGTATAGAATTAATTTATTTCATCACTGCATTAGAGAATTATAACATTACTTTTAGCTACATATGCCTCAAGAAGATCAGGTAGATGCTATTGCTGAACCAGCTTCGTTGAATGCTCCGGGTGAAATGTTCATTGAGAGAGGAACAGATTCTAGAGGTATATACATGATGTTACTTCAACAACAAAACAATGATACCAGAAATATTTTACTTAAATATTAAAGAATAATTCAAAATACGGGAAAGTAATGCAGACTTCATTGCAGATTAGTGCTGTCTTGTTGTTAGGCTTGTGTAATATTTATACCCCCACACAACAAAGTTGTAAGGGGGTGTACTGGAATCAGCCTGTCTGGCTGTCCTGTTTTTCCATATCTGCTCAATAACTTAAGAATTCTTTGACCCACAGTCTTCATATTTGGTATTTAGATTTGTCAGGATTAGTAGGAGACCTAAAAATTTTGAGGTCACCAGGTCAAAGGTCAAGGTTACGGGGACCTTGACTAAAAAGGCTTGTCGGCCCAATAACATTAAAAATCCTTTGATCCATAGTCTTTATATTTGGTATTGAGATTGGTCAAGATTTATAGATGACCCCTATTGATTTTGAGGTCACCAAGTCAAAGGTCAAGATCACAGGGACTTTGACTAAAAAAATCTTGTACGGCCAATAACTTCAGAATCCTTTGACCCACAGTCTTTATATTTGACATGGAGGTTAGTCATGACCATTAGATGACCCCTATTGATTTTTAGGTCACTGGCTCAAAGGTCAAAGTCACAGGGGCCTTGACTTAAAAAAAGTTTGTCCGCCTAATACTTTAAGAATCCTTTGACCCACTGTCTTCATATTTGGTTTTGAGATTGGTCATGATTGTAAGATGACACTATTGATTTTGAGGTCACTGGGTCAAAGGTTAAGTCACAGGGGCCTTAACTAGAAAAAGCTGCGCAATAACTTTTTAGATTCCTTTGACTTACAGTCTACCTATTCTGCATGGACATATTTCATTACCATTAGATGACCCCTATTGCTTTGAGGCCACTGGGTCAAAGGTGACAGGAGCCTTTACTTGAAAAAAATTTTCCGCTCTATTGCTCTAGAATGCTTTGGTCAACAATCTTCGTGGTTGAGGGGTTAAAGTTGATGACTTCTAATCCAGTTAGCTCTCTTATGTGGGTTCGATCCCCTGGATATGTTTTGGTAGTTTAGCATGGAGGAAGGTATTCTAGTACTGGTGTAACTCTCCAGGAACGACGGTTAGGAAACTACCCGCCTATATGACTGAAATACTGTTGGGAAAAGGCATAAAATGAAACAAACAAACAAAGTCAACAGTCTTCATATTTAGTATCAAGGTTGGTTATGACCATTAGATGAGTCATATTGATTTGGACATCACTGGAACAAAGGCCAGGGTCACAGGGGCCTTGACTTCAAAAAATTTGTCCCCCAAATAACCTAAGAATCCTTTGACCCACAGTCTTAATATTTGGCATGGAGGTTAGTCATGACCATTAGATGACCTGTATTGATTTTGAGGTCAAAGGTCAAGGTAACTAGGGCCTTTTAAATTTTAAAAAAACTTTAAACCGCCATATTTCCCTTAGAAAAACTTTTGAAACCCCCAGGGTTTTTATATTTAAACCCAAAGGAAAGTTTGTTATGACCATTTAACCACAAACCTTTTTGAATTTGAGGGGCATTGGGGGTTTAAATGGGCAAAGGGCAAAAGGGGTGTTAAAATTTAAAAATTGTCTGCTTAATTGCTTAGAAAGCTATGTCTTTATATTTGGTATTGAGGTCGGTTATGAATAGTAGATTACCCTAATTGGTTTTGAGGTCATAGGTCAAGGTCAGAAGGGCCTTGACTAAAAAAAACTTGTCCGCTGAACATTTTAAGAATCCTTTGACCCTGTCTTTATATTTGGCATGGAGGTTGATCATGACCATTAAGTGAGCCCTATTGATTTTGAAGACACTGGGTCAAAGGTCAATGTCACAGGGGTCTTTAGTTGAGAAAGCTTGTCTGCTCAAGTACTTAAGAATGATTTGGTCAACATATTTGTCTTCATATTTGGTATTGAGGTTAGTCATGACTAGTAGATGACCCCTATGGATTTTTAGGTGACTGTGTTAATTAAGGTCAAGGTCACAGGGGCTTTAACTACAATAAGCCTGTCTGCTTAAATGCTTATGAATGCCTACCCAAAGTGCATTGATTCTGACATTTCACATTTGAAGCATAAATATGTTCTGATATATTCATCATAAAACACCCCCAGACAAAGCTGCTTGAATGGGGGTTTTTCAAATCATACAGTGGCAGTTTCAGTTTTTAGATCAAAGATAAAGATCACTTTGATCTTTGCTACTACAAACATGTAGAATACATAACCTAGCAATGCACTGGCTTACTACCCTCATATTTGGCAGGGTAGTTGACCTTGAGCTGTAAATGACTACTGTTGATTCTGACAAAATGGTATGTGGGGGTATTCTCGCCATGACAGTGGCAGTTCTAGTTTGTACCAGAAAAACAGTACATGAAAATAATTTTAAATGTTGTAATGCTGAGGTTTTTCACATACTCATATTCATTAAAAAGAAAATAACTTGCAAATTTATGCCAATATTTTACATGCAACAGAGCCTTTTTCTTGGTGCTGTATTTTGTAAATTCTGTATTAATTTATAACTTATTTTTAAGAAAATGATTGTTTAAAATGATGTAATAGAGTTTAATTGTAATTTGAAAATTGTATTTTGGTTTTTACAACAAATATGATATGCCCATGAAGACGAAACCTATCGGTGAAATCTTTAAGTATACTATAATAAATTTAACCGGACCTCTCCTACCCTAGGGTAATAGGGGCAGTCAGGCATTTCCCTAAAATTAAAGTGAACTGGATACATTCACTGCAGTTTATGCTGTATTCTCTGCTGTTTTAAGTGTGGAAACTAAATCAACATCTCATACTATAACACAGTGACAGTATGAAGATAAAGACTTAGCTATGTTTTCCTCTTTGGTCCATGCTCCTCAGGTGTGGGAAGATAGGTTTACATTTAATTGATACATAAACTCAAATGTATTTTTATCTTACCCAAATAATAGAAAAACTGCATATATTATTTCTTTAATTATCTGCTGTGTCAATCAGCTATATAATTTGCATTGACAGAAAGTTTTCTTTTAAATAATTAAACCCAAGCACAATCAAGTTGTAAGGGGGTATACTGGAATTAGCTTGTGCGTCCAGACATCCGCCTGTTGGTTTTGCCTTGTCTGCCCAATAACTTAAGATTCCTTTGACCTACAGTCTTGATATTTGGTATTTAGATTGGTCATGATTAGAAGATGATCCCTATTGATTTTTAAGCCACCAGGTGAAAGGTCAAGCTCACAGTGGCCTTGACTAACAAAAGCTTGTCCGTCCAATAACTTAAGATTCCTTTGACCCACAGTCTTCATATTTGACTTGGAGGTTGGCCATGACCATTAGATGACTCCTATTGACTTTTAGGTCAAAGGTCAAGGTCAAAAGGACTGTGACTAAAAATATCTTGTCCCCCCCAATAACTTAAGATTCCTTTAACCCACAGTCTTCATATTTGGCATGGAGGTTGGCCATAACAATAAGATGACCCCTATTGATTTTTAGTTGACTGTATCAAAGGTCATGGTCACAGGGATTTTTACTATAATAAGCTTGTCTGCTCAAATGCTTAAGAATGCCTGTCCACAGTGTATTGATTTTGACATTTTCACATTTGAAGCATGTAAAATACATAACTTAGCAATGCACTGGCTTAGTAACCGGGAGGTTGTCCTAAAATGAGCTCTGTATGGCTACTGTTGATTCTGACAAAGTGGTATAAGGGGGTTAATTCACACCATGACAGTGGCAGTTCTAGTTTGTACTGTTTCACTTAAATTATATTTTTTCAGATATGCAGTTCAGTTCTACCTATGTGCAGTGAGTATTAAAAATTTTACATATATTCTTTTTCTATTCTTACAGATGAAAGTTTAAGGAAATTTTTCTTTTATCATGCTGTTTGAGTCAAAAAGAGATAAATCATAAAGCAGCCCAATTATTAAATAATTATGACCATATCTAGATGAGAAATATAGAATCATCATATTCTTTTTGTTTTAAAATAAAATTTGTATTCTTTTCATATTAATAGCATGTTCTAGTTTGATTAATTTTACATGCCTGAAGGACCTTAGGATTAATGCGATGTGGCATTGTCCATCAGTCTGTCTCCAAGTTTTATTTAAAGCAAACAGTGGGCCATCTTGCTGTGAGAATAATCTAGTTCATTCTGTAACAAAAGAATAAGGGGCCAATAGCCCTCTATTAAATAAAAGAAAATAATTTATTAATAATTGTCCTCTTCTTCATTTTTACTCCATGTCTTAGAGAAGCTAATTGGTTTCAGCATGAAAAAAATTGAAGTATATCAATTATTTTTAAGTATGTAGCAAAACACAGGTCTGGCCGAGGTTTGATTTTTGCAGCAATCAATTCATTATTTATAAAGTTATGCTGTTTTTTAAACACATTATCTATCAAGCTGTTTTGTCCAATTAACTTATTTCAGTGAGTATATTTGGCTCGTTAATATGTTATATCAAAGCATAGATTTAAGCTACAATCAATACATTTATTCCCCTTTTAGAAATTTTTGAGTGAAATTATTAGTTTCCTCAGAGAAATTCTTGAGTATCTTGCCATTTAGTTCTGTCCATTTAATGCTTTTTCATTAATATTTAATATTTCCATTATTTCGTTGCAACCACTTACTTTAACTCTTTACACTTAATTGGAAGCTTCACTACCTTGAGATGTTTTCATAATAACAGCATGTTCTGATATAATGATCTTTTTTTACAAAGTTAAACCCTTCTATCATTTTCAATGTCATTTTGAGAGTTTATTATTGTAAAATGTTCATGCAACATGAGCTGTGAAAGCATGCCAATTACATATTTGTTACAGCATGTGTTGCTTCTACAAAACTCCTGTTAACCCCCTGTTTTCTAGCCATATTATTTTTCATTTCTTTAAGGAATCCTGAACTTGAAAGGATGAAGGAATTGGAATGTTATATGGAAATGAAAAACATTCCAATGAGTGAAACCAAAGAATCCCTGAAACTGAAACTTGTGGATCTAGAATTGCCAATAATATTTCCAAAGTTGGTTTATCAGGATGGCTCTGATACCGCTATCCTAATTTGTAAAAATGTTGAAGGTAATTTGTTAATTTTTGTCTATTCGATTATATTGCCAAAAGAGTGTTAATTCTGGTTAACCAGCTAACTTATACCTTGCAATGGTCTTTCTTATCAAATATTGCTCATATAACACCTTTACTCTGTAGAATATAATTATGGGAAACATGAAAAGAATCGGCATTTTAGCAAAACAGAAAAATAAAGATAACAAAGCTTATAGAAAACAATTTTTCATCCAACTGGTTGATTAAATTGTGATGTCCCCCTCCTTTATGAAGAAAAAAGGGATTTGTCTGTCTGTCTGTCTGTCAGTCACACTACGTGTCTAGTTTATAACTCAGCCATTCATCTATGGATTTTGAAATAACTTGGCACAACAGTAAATACCGATGTAGCTAGGTGTAAATCCATTATTACAGACATCTTAATTATACCCCCACAAACGAAGTTTAGGGGGGGTATATAGGAGTCAGCTTGTCGGTCGGTCGGTCCGTCGGTCGGTCGGTCGGTCCGTCGGTCGGTCCACATCATGGTTTCCGGACGATAACTAGAGTTTGGAATGAGGTATTGTAATCAAACTTGGTATATAGCAACCTTATGTGAAAACTCCGGTTGGTATTGCATTTGGACCCCCTGGGGTCAAGGTCAAGGTCACCGTTACTAAAAATAGAAAAATGGTTTCCGGACAATAACTACAGTTAGGAATGAGATATTGTTATCAAACTTGGTGTATAGCAAGCTTATATGAAGACCTGGGTTGGTATTGCATTTTGACCCCCTGGGGTCAAGGTCAAGGTCACCGTTACTAAAAAATAGAAAAATGGTTTCCGTACAATAACTAGAGTTAGGAATGAGATATTGTTATCAAACTTGGCATATAGAAAGCTTATATGAAGACCTGGGTTGGTATTGCATTTGGACCCCCTGGGGTCAAGGTCAAAGTCACCGTTACTAAAAATAGAAAAATGGTTTCCGGACAATAACTAGAGTTAGGAATGAGATATTGTTATCAAACTTGGTGTATAGCAAGCTTATATGAAGACCTGGGTTGGTATTGCATTTGGACCCCCTGGGGTCAAGGTCAAGGTCACCATTCCTAAAAATAGAAAAATGGTTTCCGGACAATAACTAGAGTTAGGAATGAGATATTGTAATCAAACTTTGTGAAAAGCAAGCTTATTTGGAGACCCCAGTTGGGATTACAATTAATTGAAATATTTCTTTGTACACAGTTGATAGTTGTCACCGTTACTAAAAAATAGAAAAATGGTTTCCGTACAATAACTAGAGTTAGGAATGAGATATTGTTATCAAACTTGGCATATAGAAAGCTTATATGAAGACCTGGGTTGGTATTGCATTTGGACCCCCTGGGGTCAAGGTCAAAGTCACCGTTACTAAAATAGAATAATGGTTTCCGGACAATAACTAGAGTTAGGAATGAGATATTGTTATCAAACTTGGTGTATAGCAAGCTTACATTAAGACCTGGCTTGGTATTGCATTTGGACCCCCTGGGGTCAAGGTCAAGGTCACCGTTTCTAAAAATAGAAAAATGGTTTCCGGACAATAACTAGAGTTAGGAATGAGATATTGTAATCAAACTTTGTGAAAAGCAAGCTTATTTGGAGACCCCAGTTGGGATTACAATTAATTGAAATATTTCTTTGTACACAGTTGATAGTTTGTGTTGAAATTTTTCTTCAGACTACTTATTTTTCAAAAAGTTGCTGGTGGGGGTATTAATCACCTTCAGTGATAGGTCTAGTTTAAGTAAGAAGTGATAAAAATCGTCAATATACAGTGTTTTTCCTTTGCATAATCTACTATGTCAGTCACTAACACAGTAACCAATATATATAGAAGAAAATAATTCATTTAACACGGTCAAGTGTTACAACATTGGTATGGAAAAATCCTGGTATCCCGTATGCTCGTGGTCGTATATCAATTTTGTCATTGAGTAGGCCTAAATCTTTTTCATGCTAAAGTGTAAATAAATAAAGCAATAATGTTAAAAATGAACATTTTTGATAGTCATTTAGTTTCTTTCAACTATATGCAGTTTTGAAGGGCGATTTGAAATATAAGTAAGTTATCTTCTGGAGGTCTTTTGCTTCAAGTGAGCAAGTTCAAAACTTCATTATTTTCTTAATAGAAAACAATTGCGAAATGAATAAAAAAAAGAGTGTAACACTTTTCTCGTTTATATGATACCTGTCATAAATATGTCACAAGGCCAAAAAAAGTGGTTTTAAAAATGTTATTTTCAAAAATTCTTTGTTTTAAAAATTCAAAGTCTAGAGCTTTGTTATATTGTAAATACCATTATCTGTCAGTACAGAACCAAAATTATATATTATCTCTAGGGTTAAAATTGGCCGCATCTTTGGGGTTCATGTTTGTTCCATTTCTGTACACTGTCATAGTAAAAACTTAAAAAATCCTCTTTTCTTAAAGCTCAAAGGCAAAAGCTTAGATATTAAGCATACAACATCATCTAATTCCAAGATTGTACAAATTGTGGACCAGGGGTAAAATGTGGCCCTGACTGGGGGATGATTGACTTTCCTCGTGAATAGTAAAAACTTGAAAAATCTTTTTCTTGTAGAGGGTCTGTGTAAATGCTTAGTCACTTGGTATGAAATCTCATCATTATGGCTCTGGGGTCAATATTGGTTGAACCCAAGGGGTCATGGGGTTCTTTTTATATTGCAAAAACTTCAATAATCTTTTTTTATGGAATCCCAAGGACAAGAGTTAAATATTGCATGAAATATCATCTACTTGATCAGTAATAGCTACCAAGATTGTTTAAATTATTTGCCCTGGGTCCAAATTGGCCCTGCCCCGAGCATCTGAAATCCTAAGGGCTATGGCTTACTAGATATTTGGCTTCAAACAGCATCTTATGGCCCTGGGGTCAGAATTTGGGGTCATTAGTTTTCTGTAAATGTACAAGTAAAAACTTTTAAAAATTTGCTTCTCTGAAAGATTTAGTGCTGGAACTTGGACATTTGGCATGAAACATCACCTAATGGATTTTGAGAGTGCTCAAATTATGGTCCTTGGGTGAACATGACCCAGCTTGGTAGTCATGGGTTTTCCATATTATGTACAATTTTCTTCTTTAAAATCCGAAATAAATTTGGTATTTTTTTACTTATAAAAATACTTCTAATTATGGGACTGGTGTCAAATTTGGCCCTGACTCATGGATTTTTAGGGGAGGGGGTGGTTTTCCTTATTTGTGTATGCATATATAGTAGAAACTTCAAAAAATAGTACTTAGACATTTCGGATGAAACATAGTTGACCTCTACCAAGTTAGTTCAAATTATTGCTCTGGTGTCAAAATTTGCCCTTTATCAGGGTTTTTTAGTTTCCCATGACTATGCACCTAGTTTACAGTAAAAAGCTCTTTTCTGATATGTTAAATATCATGGGACTTAAAAGACCTAAGATTTTATGTTGCTGTTAGTCATGACTCGTTATGTCCCTTATTGGCTTTGTGGTCAGCGAGCTAGGTTTTTATTTTTGTATGTAATAGATATGGCAAATTATACATAGATATTTTGTGGATATTGTGTATTGTAAACAAAACTGAAACATTTCTTGATTCTGTTACAAGTTTTGCTTTTGAGCAGATTGTCCTTTTGTGATGGAAATACTAAGAAAAAGCAGTCATTAAATTTGTTTTTAAGTGATTAACTTTAAGTTTGTCTTCTACTTTTTTTATACAGATGCTAAAAAGTTGGAAAATGTGCAAAAGTCAGAGTTCATATTCAAGGGATATGATGGAAAGAAGGTATTAATCTTAGCTTAGATTAGATATTTCTTCTTGATATGTCCATGGTAAATAGTTTGAATGAAAGATTTCAAAGAATAATATATGAAATCAATTCAGACATCATGGATGTGTTGGATTGTTTTGAGTTTATAATAGCCTTAAACAACCCTGTAAATATACTGGTTTGCATGTGTAGAGAGCTTAAAGTTCTAAGTCCTTTGAAATTGATAGTTTTATGTTAAAGGAATCTAAAAATAAAGAATTCTAAAATATAAATGATAAGTAGGAGATTATACTTAGTTTTTTTTTAATTATATGAACATAAATGTCTTGTGCATATGTCTTAAATGTTCTTAGCTCATCTGTCACAAAGTGACAACATGAGCTTTTGTGATCACAATTCATCCGGCGTTTGTCTGTTCAGCTTCTGTCCGTCTGGGGTCAATCTGTCGTCCATCTGTAAACTTTTACTTTAAACGACATCTCCTCAGAAATGATTAAACCAATTTCATCCAAACTTCACATGTTCCTTTGATGGTCAGCTTTGAAAATTGATTTTTCTATTAAGTAAAATGTAAAAACAAAAAACAAAAATATTCTTTTAAAAAACCCAAAAAGCTAGAGCTTAGATATTAAGCAGGAATCATCTTCTTGTTGTTGTCTACCAATTGTTTGTTTGAATGAAAGCCCTGGGTTCAAAATTGACCCCACACAAGGGATTCATTGATTTTCCTTATATATAAAGTAAAACTTGAAAATTCTTCTTAAAAAACACAAATAGTTTAGATATTTAGCAGAAAACATCTTCTAGTGCGTATCTACAAAGTTTGTTCAAATAGAAACCTTCGGGTCAAAATTGCCCCGTCCTAGGGGGTCATTGATTTTCCTTATATGTACTCATCTTTTGTTTCCCTTAGCAAAAGCAACTAGTAATGTTTTTTACACAATGTCATGCATAATATCAGATAAAAATATAAACTTTGTGATACCAGTTTTAGATTTAGATTTTATATCTGCTTTTGTATAGAGATTACAATATTAAGTTGTTTCTGGTCATGGATAGTTTTTATATTCAGGTGAGTGATTTCAGAGCCATCATGGCCCTCTTGTTTAATTATATGAACATTGTTATGTTGTGCATATGACTTGATTTTAAAACAACATGACAGGTTTAATTGGTAGGGAGAAGTGTTGTGTAAGTTTAGCATTGATGTATTTTGTTGTGCAATTATTTACCCTAGTTGAGGAAGGAAGAGTGGTTCAAATAAGGCATCATTTTATGCCCCCAAAGAAAAGCATTCTGTGTACAGTAAACTTCACTTACAGCAAACACAGTTACAGCAAACTTCCGGTTATAGGGAACAATTTATTTTGACCCGAATTTTGCCCTTCTTTATTTAATATAAAAATATATGGTTATAGCGAACACGGTTATAAGGAATTATCGCGTATAAGGAACTCATTTCTAAGTCCCAATTTAGTTTATACAACAGAAAATTACACTTTTATAACGAACTCCAAAATATTGGCTATAGATCCCGCATTTTCAACTTTCGTTTTCATTCGCACGGATGAAAACTCGGGCCAATGTACCGTTTATCGTTGTATGTACTTCAAAACATCTATTTAAAGAATTTGTATAGTTTTCTATTTAGGATATTTGTAGCATGATCTCTTTTCACCAAGATAAAACGGTTATTTATTTATTTTCTTCAATAGTTTTGCTCGAGTAAATAATTAAAATAATTTATAATCGGTTTTTCCAATATAAATCATGCATGCTTGCAAGCATGATCCATTTCAAACTGCAAGAGTACGCTTGATTTTAACTGAAAAAGAAATCTATATCTTTACATTAAAAAAAGTCACCCTTATATTATAAATAGAAGATAATTCAATATTAAAGGAAAGAAAAATCGAAAATCTTGTTTATTCTTAATCATAGGGAAAGAAAACGAAAAGAGTTTAGAAACAAAATATTATATTTTTTATGTGAAATTGGAAATAGGGAGTAAAACTAAAAGTTTTTGAAATAGCAAATGATTTTCAAATTCCCAAAAAATTCCGCTCTCGGGTATTTTTTCTAAACTATAAATTAATGACTAATACATGTATCTCTATTTCTTAAATCAAATGCTCTTCAAAAATGGCAGACAATGGTAAACAATCAGTTCGTTATATGTAAATCTGTTCGCTTTAAAAACTCCTGATACAAGAAACTAATTCGCTATATGCTTACAAGGAACTCCGGATATAAGGAACAGGTTTTGAATGTCCCAGTGAGTTCGTTATAAGCGGAGTTTACTGTATACTAATTGTACTGTCTCTCTGCCCATCCTTTAATTTTTTGTCTGCATTGCTATATCAAACAAATACTTTGTCTTGAATGAAAATCACAAAAGAAGACAAAAAGCTTCGTCTGTTAAAAGGTTTTCGACTGTATAAAATAACTTTCACGTAAAATGTGTTTCTGAATATTATCTTTTTTTGTTGTTTCCTGAGTCATTACTATTAGTTTTTTTTCCAGTGTTACACAAAAGTTTCATGGAATTTTCCAAAGGCTAAAGATTTACAACCGGAGGACATGGATGAACTGAAGAAAATTTATGTAAATGTTGATGAAGCCACTGGAAAGATTGAAACATTGACAACGTATCAACTTAAGTGTGCAAAGGTAATACTTGCAAAATATGATAAACAAAAAGGTACACAAACAGAAGAAGGTATAAATGAAAATGAGCTGGTTACAATTAACAAAAGCATTGAAATGGAAGCTTCTGAAGATGTCTGGAATATTGTAAGTGAAATATGTAAAAAGGACATAAAATCTTTTGAGAAAAATTTTGGACCTGTTAAATTTGAAAATTCAAAGATTGTTATACCAGCTCATGACAGGGATTTTGCTAAAAGTGAGGTACAGAAAACTGACATCAAGTATACAAACAATAAAGAACAAAAGAAATAACAGATATTGTTATAATTCAAGAGAAAATAGAGCAGTCAGCTTTGCCTGACTACTGTAAAAAAAGTGGAGGAATCATTTGGTTATCCATGTTGTGTCCTGGAATCAAGACAAAAATAAACTATTTGCATATGAATGATACATATGATAAGGCCATGAAGGTAAAGCACCATTTTAATATCACATCTGGCCAAATAAAACAGACAGGACAAAATCGCCGTAAAAACAGAGGAGCAGCCCAAATTCAAAGCAATGGATGATACTGCTTCAGGTGGAATAACATCAGACAACAGATTTTGCGAATTCTTTTAAGAACAAAAGTGTTGAACATTCTTCTAAGAAAACAAGTCTTAATCAAAGTGATAAAGAGCAGTGCTATAAATTTGGCAAACACATTGGTGAAAATCTACAGAGGGGATATTGTAAACCTCAATGTTGATTGTATTGTAAATGCAGCAAAACAAAATACCTTTCACATGGTGGAGGTGTAGCTGCAGTGATAGCAAGAGCAGCAGGTTATAACCTAATAAAAGAGGGGAATGATTATATTGCTCGAAATGGTGACATTCCCAGTTGGTCAGGCTATTGCACAACTGCTGGAAAACTCAATTATAAATGTGTGATTCATACAGTCGGTCCAAGTTGGTATGATTATGAAAGTCGTTCTCATGATGATGTTCAAAGATGTAAAAATGATCTCTTTCATGCCCATTTACAACTGTTTTTTTTACGCACATTGCTGAAGGCATGGAATTGAGAAGTATTGCTATTCCTGCTATAAGTTCAGGTATGTTGAATTGATAAAAACTGGGGGTAATGAGTATTCTTTATGTATATTTTTAAAAACCAAAACTAAAAATTTTTTTTCCCTTAAAAAAAATTCAAAAAATGAAAAAAATTGTCCCGATGGACCTGTAATTCCCCTAATTTTCTTTTGAAAATTTTAACCTTTTAGGTCAAAAAATTTGGGCCTACCCCAAGGGGAAAACCCGGGAAACCTTTTTTTTTTGTCCTTTTGAAATTTAAACAGCTTTTTTAAATTATGACCATAAAAGCACAGTTTTTAAAATGAAAAAATTTAAATTTGGGGTAAAGCTTTACCTAAAAAATTGGGGAAGTGAAACCCACTGTCCCTTTTCCTTGGAAAGTACAGCTTTTGAAATTTGGACCATTTTTTGCAACCAGTTTGGATGTGATTTAGCTGACAAGATTTTTTTACAAGTTTACCCATTTTCTTGTGGGCCCTCCCTTTTGTTTTTAAAACTCACCCTGAGCAATATGCTCAGGGTGAGCTATTAGGATCACCATTCGTCCGTCGTCTGTCGTCCGTTGTCCGTTCACACTTTTCAAATGACATTCTCCTCTGAAACCATAAACGCAGATCATAATGAAACTTCAAAGGGATGTTCGTTGTGTGAAGCCTTAACAAAGTTGTTCAAAGAAATTCCATTCCATGCAGAACTCTGGTTGCCATGGTAACAAAAGAAAAAACTTTAAACATCTTCTTTCTAGAAAACCCGAAGAGCTAGAGCTAAGATATTTGGCATGAAACATCTTCTAGTGAGTGTCTACCAAAGATTGTTCAAATAAAAGCCCTGGGATCAAAATTGGCCCCCGCCCCAGGGGGTCATTGATTTTTTCCTTATATGCATATAGTAAAAACTTTAAAAAATCTTTCTTTCTTAAAAAACCCAAAGAGCTTAGAGCTTAGATATTTGGCATGAAACATGTTCTAATAGATGACTACCACGCTTTATTTCAAATAAAGCCCTGGGTTCAAAATTTGCCCCACTCCAGGGGGTCATTGATTTTTCCTATATGCATATAGTAAAAACTTAAAAAATCTTCTTTTAAAGAACCCAAAGAGCTAGACCTAAGATAATTAAGCATGAAACATCTTCTAATGAGTGTCTACCAAGATTGTTCAAATAAAGCCCTGGGGTCAAAATTGGCCCTGCCCCAGGGGGTCATTGATTTTCCTTATATGCATATAGTAAAAACTTTAAAAAATCTTCTTCTAAAAAACCCAAAGAGCTAGAGCTTAGATATTTGGCATGAAACATGTTCTAATAGATGTCTACTACGCTTGTTCAAATAAAAGCCCTGGGGTCAAAATTGGCCCCACTCCAGGGGGTCATTGATTTTTCCTGTATGCATATAGTAAAAACTTAAAAATCTTCTTTTAAAGAACCCAAAGAGCTAGACCTAAGATATTAAGCATGAAACATCTTCTAATGAGTGTCTACCAAGATTGTTCAAATAAAAGCCCTGGGGTCAAAATTGACCCCGCCCCAAGGGGTCATTGATTTTCCTTATATGCATATAGTAAAAACTTTAAAAAATCTTCTTCTAAAAAACCCAAAGAGCTAGAGCTGTAATAGATGTCTACCACGCTTGTTCAAAATAAAAGCCCTGGGGTCAAAATTGGCCCACTCCAGGGGGGTCATTGATTTTTTTCCTATATGCATATAGTAAAAACTTAAAATCTTCTTTTAAAGAACCCAAAGAGCTAGACCTAAGATATTAAGCATGAAACATCTTCTAATGAGTGTCTACCAAGATTGTTCAAATAAAAGCCCTGGGGTCAAAATTGGCCCCGCCCCAGGGGGTCATTGATTTTCCTTATATGCATATAGTAAAAACTTTAAAAAATCTTCTTCTAAAAAACCCAAAGAGCTAGAGCTTAGATATTTGGCATGAAACATGTTCTAATAGATGTCTACCACGATTGTTCAAATAAAAGCCCTGGGGTCAAAATTGGCCCCCCACTCCAGGGGGTCATTGATTTTTCCTATATGCATATAGTAAAAACTTTAAAAAATCTTAAGAGCTAGAGCTTAGATATTTGGCATGAAACATCTTCTAGTGAGTGTCTACCAAGATTGTTCAAATAAAAGCCCTGGGGTCAAAATTGGCCCCGCCCCAGGGGGTCATTGATTTTCCTTATATGCATATAGTAAAAACTTTAAAAAATCTTCTTCTAAAAAACCCAAAGAGCTAGAGCTTAGATATTTGGCATGAAACATGTTCTAATAGATGTCTACCAAGCTTGTTCAAATAAAAGCCCTGGGGTCAAAATTGGCCCCACTCCAGGGGGTCATTGATTTTTCCTATATGCATATAGTAAAAACTTAAAAATTTTCTTTTAAAGAACCCAAAGAGCTAGACCTAAGATATTAAGCATGAAACATCTTCTAATGAGTGTCTACCAAGATTGTTCAAATAAAAGCCTTTGGGGTCAAAATTGGCCCCGCCCCAGGGGGTCATTGATTTTCCTTATATGCATCTACTAAAAACTTTAAAAATCTTCTTCTAAAAAACCCAAAGAGCTAGAGCTTAGATATTTGGCATGAAACATGTTCTAATAGATGTCTACCACGCTTGTTCAAATAAAAGCCCTGGGGTCAAAATTGGCCCCGCCCCAGGGGGTTATTGATTTTCCTTATATGCATATAGTAAAAACTTTAAAATCTTCTTCTAAAAAACCCAAAGAGCTAGAGCTTAGATATTTGGCATGAAACATGTTCTAATAGATGTCTACCACGCTTGTTCAAATAAATGCCCTGGGGTCAAAATTGGCCCCGCCCTAGGGGTCATTGATTTTCCCTATATGCATATAGTAAAAAACTTAAAAAAAAATCTTTTTTTTAAAGAACCCAAAGAGCTAGACCTAAGATATAAAAGCATGAAACATCTTCTAATGAGTGTCTACCAAGATTGTTCAAATAAAAGCCCTGGGGTCAAAATTGGCCCCGCCCCAGGGGCTCATTGATTTTCCCTATATGCATATAGTAAAAACTTAAAAAAAACTTCTTCTAAAAATCCAAAGAGCTGGAGCTTTGATATTTGGCATGAAATATGTTCTAATGAATGTCTACCAAGATTTTTCAAATAAAAGCCCTGGGGTCAAAATTGGCCCCGCCCCAGGGGGTCATTGATTTTCCCTTTATGCATATAGTAAAAACTTAAAAAAATCTTCTTTTAAAGAACCCAAAGAGCTAGAGCTAAGATATTTAGCATGAAACATCTTCTAATGAGTGTCTACCAAGATTGTTCAAATAAAAGCCCTGGGGTCAAAGTTGGCCCAGCCCCAGGGGTCATTGATTTTCCCTATATACATGTAGTAAAAACTTAAAAATCTTCTTTAAAAGAACCCAAAGAGCTAGAGCTAAGATATTTAGCATGACACATCTTGTAATGGGTGTCTACCAAATTTGTACAAATAAAAGCCCTGGGGTCAAAATTGGCCCCACCCAAGGGGTCATTGATTTTCCCTATATACATAGAGTAAAAACTTAAAAATCTTCTATTAAAGAACCCAAAGAGCTAGAGCTAAGCATGAAACATGTTCTAATGGATGTTTACCAAGTTTGTTCAAATAAAAGCCCTTGGGTCAAAATTGGCCCCGCCCTAGGGGGTCATTGATTTTCCCTATATTGCATATAGTAATTAAAAACTTAAAAATCTTCTTTAAAAGAACCCAAAGAGCTAGAGCTAAGATATTTAGCATGAAACATTTTCTAATGGGTGTCTACCAAGTTTGTTCAAATAAAAGCCCTAGGGTCAAAATTGGCCCGGCTTCAGGGGGGTCATTGATTTTCCCTATATGCATATAGTAAAAACTGAAAAAATCTTCTTTTAAAGAACCCAAAGAGCTAGAGCTAAGATATTCAGCATGAAACATGTGCTAGTGAGTGTCTACCAAGTTTGTTCAAATAAAAGCCGTGCGGTCAAAATTGGCCCCGCCCCAGGGGATCATTGATTTTCCCTATATTGCATAAAGTAAACACTTAAAAAATCTTCTTTTAAAGAACTCAAAGAGCCAGAGCTAAGATATTTAGCATGAAACATGAAACTATGAAAAATGCTTCAATACTAATCAAACTTGGCACAAATGTTGAATGGACCATTGCTTTTGTAACGACATGCTCAGTCTTAAATTTCCTGTTACCATGGCAACGAGGGGACATCTCAAAAGTGCCAAAAATCACTGAGCTGTGGTCATTTTTAGCCTCTGACAAGTCCAAAATTTTCTTTGCGAAAAATTGTTGTTTTGTAACATTTATAGTTTTTTTAGTTAACCCTTTCCACCATGAGCATATTGTGACAAAAATGGCTGTTTTCACTGAAAAGCCTCCTGTTACAAGTTCAAACTGCTATGAAACTATGAAAAATGCTTCAATACTAATTAAACTTGGCACAAATGTTGACTGGACCATTGATTTTGTAACGACATGCTCAGTCTTAAATTTCCTGTTACCCTGGCAACAAGGGGACATCTCAAAATTGCCATAAATCACTATTTTGCCTTGATTTTTTCCATCAAAATTTATTTCAAAGTGCTGCAACTTCTCAAGGGATTGAAATAGAGTCAAAAGCTTTTCAGCATTGGTTACACGTTACCTTATGATTGACCTGGGGTCATTTTTAGCCTCTCACAAGTCCAAAATTTTCTTGGCAATGAGGGGGACTTCGCCCCCCTTCAAACCCCCCAAACAGAAGGGGGCACATCCCCCTTCAGGCAACCCCCTGATGTATCTTTTGGATAGGGGGCGGCGCTGAAAACATGATCACTTTTTTTAGCAATATTTCTCAAACAAAAACATGTGTTGGTGCCCAAATAGGACATTTTTCACTATTTTAGACCTAAAAAAAGGGGGTGGAGGGTCGAAAGTGCGTTGTTTCGCGTATATATGAGGTAAAGGGTTAACAAAAAATGATGAAAAACTCTGGGATCACCCAAAATCTAGTTTTTCT